TCTCCCTCCCTCCGCCCTTCACTCACAGTCTCAGAGCGGCTTATAAACTCCTCCCCCTCCCCACAACAGACACCCTTTGAGGTAGATGGGGCTGAGAGAGCTCTTTCCAGAGCTGTTCTTGAGAGAACAACTCTGACAGAACTATGGCTTGCCCCAGATCACCCAGCAGCTGCAAGTGGAGGAGTGGGGAATCAAACCCGGTTCTCCCAGATTAGGGTCCGCGCACTTAACCACTACACCAAATGGACTCTTTCTTCTGTCAAATATCCCACAAGTTGCATAGCTGCACACAGCTCCCCCATAAAAAAGAGCTCTGGATCATCCCATTGAAGAGGCCCAATACCACTCCCTGAATGTGGGGCAGTGTGGCATGGCAGTTAGAGGTCAGAGAGACACAGGTTGGCCATGAATTTTACCGGGTGACCTGGAACTCGCCATCGCAGCCCAACCTACCTCACAGGGTTGCTGTGAGGATAACATGAAGGATGTGTGTGTCAAACTATATACGTTTTTTTCTTAGTCGAAAGGTGGGATTAAAATGTTATAATAAAAGCAGCTGGCCTAGACTGATCCTTGACTCCTTTGAAGGCTCAAACAGTTATTCTTCATTCCTGTAGCAATTCTTGTGAGCTAAGCAGTATGCAAGTTATTTACAGAATAACCATGAGGAGTTATTGTTATTCCCTTTTAAAAGATGGGGATCGAAGACTTTTGGAGACTGGATAGGAGCTACTTGCTTGTGTCAGTGAGGGAGGATTTCATTTATTTATTTTTTACTTCATTTCTACCATGTCTTTGTTCCCAGTAGGGACACAAAGCGGCTTACACCATTCTCATCTCCTCCCCTCCATTTTATTATCCTCCCAACAGCCCTGTGAGGTAGGTTCGGCTGCGTGTGTGTGACTGGCCTGAGGTCCTCCAGCAAGCTTCCATGGCAAAGTGGAGAATTCGAACCTGGGTCTCCCAGATCCTATTTCAATACTCCAACCACCACACTGGATTCACATAATCATCTTTTACATGGTAGTATTAAAGGTGAAAGGTAAAGGTTTCCCATGCTTGAAGGCCAGTCGAAACTGACTCTAGGGTTGCGGTGCTCATCTACGTTTCCAAGCCGAAGAGCCAACGGTGTCTGAAGACCTCTCGATGGTCATGTGGCCAGCATGACTAAACGTCGAGGCACACGGAACGCTGTTACCTTCTCACCGAAGCAGTACCTATTTATATCGTTGCAATTTCTTGCTTTCGAACTGCTAGGTTGGCAGGAGCTGGGGCCAGAGATGGGAGCTCACTCCATCACACGGCACTAGGGTCTCGAACTGCCGAACTACACACCTTTTGGTCTGCAGCTCAGCATCTTAACCTCTGAGTCACCACAGCCCCTTTTCATGGTAGTATTATAGACAATTTTTTAAAAAATACATTGTTTACATGTCTCAAAATCTTGACTTTACTGGGAAGGGGACACAGCTCAAAATTCGAATTCATTATTTGCAGACAGAAGGTCCCAGGTTCTAAACCCTGATTTCTCCAGTGGTGAAAGCCTGAATAAGCCCTGAGCCCTTGATGATCCATGACCAGTCTTAGTCTGCAATCACACACACTAAACAATCAACTTTCAATCCACATTCAATGTACTTTCCACTGAAAGTGGATTTTTTAGTGTGTGTGTGATCGCAGCCTTACTCAGAACCGTGTCTGACTCAGAGCGAGGCAGTGCCCTGAGCTGATTTCAGTTCTGAACACACTCCAGGATGTGGAGAGCCACAATGACACATCGGAGCATTTGCAAGACCAGTAGCTATTACAGAAGATCACAACTCATGCGTGCTTCATTCCACAATCACCACATTAAAAACAGTTGTGTGAATCAGCCTGGTTGTCCAGCTCCGCTGAGGTCAAGTGGTATCCCTGAAAGGTTCGATATGGGCCAAACCCCACATTCAGTCCTTGAGGTCTCTACTGACAGGACGGGAAACAGATCTCTGGAGGTCTCTCAGAACCACTGTTGGACAGAATTGTCCTAGACAGAACAATTTGAGGGGTTAGATGAAGATGGGTAGCTGTGTTAGTCTGTCTGTAGCAGTAGAAGAATAGAAGAGGTTGTATATCCCGCCCTTCACTACCCAAAGGTGTCTCAGAGCGGCTTACAAACTCCTTTCCCTTCCCCTCCCCACAACATATACCCTGTGAGGTAGGTGGGGCTCAGAGAGATCCTGACAGAAACTGCTCTTTTTCAAGGGCAGCTCTGACAGAACTATGGCTTGCCCAAGGTCATCCAGCCAGGTGCAAGTGGAGGAGTGGGGGAATCAAACCCGGTTCTCCCAGATTAGAGTCCGGACACTTAACCACTACACCAAACTGGCTCTCTAGAAAAGAGTGAGAGTCCAGTAGCACCTTAAAAAACTAACAAAATTTGTGGTAGGGTATGCACTTTCATGAGTCACTGCTCATGTGAGCATCTGAAGAATCTGAGGGGGTGAGACTCAGTGATAGAGCATCTGGTTGGCAGGCAGAAGGTCCCAGTTTCAGTCCTCACTCAGCACGTCCAGTTAAAAGGATCAGGTAGTAGGTGATGTGACAGACCTCTGCCTGAGATCCCTGAGAGTTGCTGCCACTCTGAGTAGACAATACTGACCTTGATGGACCAAGGGTCTGATTCAGTATAAGGCAACTTCCTGTGTTCAAGTATTTGAGCCAGGCCATTACATCCTTTAAAGGCCTTCACGGCCTAGGAGCCACATATCTACAGGACTTTCTCTTCCCATACGTCCTCATACATCAGTTACAGTCCTCGGGCTGCCATCTTGTTTAGGTCAGCCCACCTGGCAGCCACTGGAGCCTGTTCCCTCACAGATCTTCCAGCTCATGGAATGGGCTCCTTGAGGAGGTGAGAGGGACAATGTCTGCCCTACAGGCTACTCTGTTTGTAAAGGTAAAGGTAAAGGTTCCCTTGCTCGAAAGCCAGTCGAGTCCGACTCTAGGGTTGCGGTGCTCATCTCCGTTTCAAAGCCGATGAGCCAGCGCTGTCTGAAGACGTTTCCGTGGTCATGTGGCCAGCATGACTAAACACCAAGGCGCACGGAACGTTGTTACCTTCCCACCAAAGTGGTCCCTATTTATCTACTTGCAATTTCTTGCTTTCGAACTGCTAGGTTGGCAGGAGCTGGAACTAGAGACGGGAGCTCACTCCGTCATGCGGCACCCGGGTCTTGAACTGCTGAACTACCGACCTTCCACAGCCTGCAGTTCAGCGTCTTAACCACTTGAGCCACCGCAGCTCTGTTTGACAGGGTGTAAATTGTAGTGGGGGGGGGGAGATTATGTGACTTATGTGAGGTTTTTAATTGTATTTTTTAATTTGAATTTGTAAGCTGCCTAGAGCAATAGGGAACACAGAGTATAAATATCTTAACAAAATAAAATAAATATATTTATAGGAGTCGTAGACAGAGCGCCAGCAGCTTGAATAGCTCAGACTAACCCCAGTTTGTTAGAGTTCAGTATCTAAGCGAAGTTGGCCACAGTTAGTACTTGAAGGGGAGAAAAAGAAGAAGAGAGATTGGATTTATACCCCCACCCTTCACTTGGAGTCTCAGAGCGGCTTACAAACTCCTTTCCCTTCCCTTCCCCTCCCCTCCCCACAACAGACACCCTGTTAGGGTGGTGGGGCTGAGAGAGCTCTGACAGAAACTGCTCTTTCAAGAACAGCTCTGGCAAACTATGGCTTGCCCAAGGTCATCCAGCAGCTGCAAGTGGAGGAGTGGGGAATCAAACCTGGTTCTCCCAGATTAAAGTCCACAGACTTAACCACTACACCAAACTGGAAGCCCAGGGTTGCTACACAGAGGCAGGCAATAGCAAGCCACCTCTGAATGTCTCTTATGTTGAAAACCCTGTGAGGGGCTGCCATAAATTGGTCGCAACTTAATGGCACTTAACTATTATTATTAATAATACTTTTCAAAGGATATTATAGCTTTGGATAAAGTGCAGAAAAGGGCAACTCGAATGATAAAAAGGTTGGAACACTTTCCCTATGATGAAAGGTTAAAGCGCTTAGGGCTCTTTAGCTTGGAGAAACAACGACTGAGGGATGACATGATCGAGGTTTATAAGATTATGCATGGGAAAGAGCAGGTAGGGAATAGGTACTTTTCTCCCTTTCTCACAAATATAAGAACTCGTGGGCACTCCATGAAATTACTGAGCGGTCGGGTTAGAACGGATAAAAGGAAGTACTTCTTCACCCAAAGAGTGATTAACACATGGAATTCACGGCCACAGGAAGTGGTGGCGGCAACAAGCATGGACGGCTTCAAAAGGGAATTA